CATAAGGTCACACCACGTCCAAGACCTTTAACCCAGCATGTCGCCCTGGTGTTTAGCAGCGTGTAGCATGAAGAGCGATCGAAGTCAACGGTCTCATACTTGCGGACGCTGCGTCTTCTGCGTTTGCGGAGCTTTCCAGACGGTTTGTAACATATGACGCAATGTGCAACGAACAAGGGGGTATGAGGTTGGAAGTGTTGTGTGAAAGGGTGGGTTAGAAACTGGACGAATGATGCGACCGAGCTGCGGTCGTGTCTGCAGTGTTTGTTGTCTTCGTGCGACACCGGATGTGGGAGTGTGTGGGGAGGGTCCAAAGCTCCAAAGCCAAGAGACAATAGGGATTGCAAAGCTGTTTTATTGTGGGATGCACTGTCGTTCTGTAAGAGCTTTCGAGGTGTTAGACGATGCGCAGTGCTTAGAAGCACTGCTCCCGGGAACGTTGTGCCGGGGGCAGTTGGATCTCTAGTTCCGCGCCGCGGAAGTCTTCGGATTTGCATCCCTGTGGCTACTGTGAAAGCGCCAGCAGAAGGTGGGTGCTTGGGTCACGGCCTTAAATCACAGAAGTAAAGACTATAGATGGTCGGGAGAGAGCTCTTGTGCTTCTACGCTGGGCGATTAGTTGCTCGGCTCCTCTGGGCGGTCGCGTAATTATGGTGGGGCGTTAGACAGGTTTGTACTTCTCAGGTTGGCAAGTCATGACGTGGATTACCGTACGCCGTAGCACTTAGCATAATTACTAGCGCCGGTGGAGAGGCTTCAATTCGGGGAGGCGAGGAGCAAAACGGAGTTGCCCAAGCAGCACTTGCTCAAGTCCTTGTGCGATGCTTCTTTGGGTCGGCATTTCGGCATGCTCTAGAGATTCTGCTTGGACATGCGTGGAAGACTATATAATGTGCACATTAAAACCACTTGGACGGGATGTATCCAGGAACATGCTTTGCAAAAGCAGCGTGAAACCTTCAAAATGAATTTGTGAATAGAAAGGGCATTCGAACCCAATTTCTGCCACTCCGCTCTCATTCTGCCAATTTGTTCGCAGAACAGATGTAATTCAGACATATTGGACGATTAAAGCCTTGCACGGCTTTCGCCGCGTTCAATTTTCATACTGGAAGCTGGCTTTCATTTGCCTACTTTACTGCAATATGTTGGTTCTCATGTTTGTTTTCGTTTGTCCTGTGTTTCTTTGGTTTGTTCTGCAGGCGTTGACATCACACCCAGGGCCGCGCTTGCTCACGCGCCGGGCCTGTTGCGTGGCGTCAATGCCCTGCGCTGAGCTGACTCCAATGTTTCAACAACTGGACGCCAACCTGCTAGCGATGGCCTCCAACCCCAAACGAGGAAGGACAAGAAAGAAAGCAAGTGAAAAACGAATGTCTAAAGGCCTTCACCTAGTAGCACTGATTTGGATGTGAGGTATGGAGAGGATGAAGTTATCATCGCCGGTGGGCTGCCAACTGAGTCTTTCATTTCCAAGTTTCAGTGCTTTTCTGGGTTTGTTTCTTTTGGCCATGTTAAGCACTTGGGTGTGTATTGTAGTAGGGGGACCCCAACCAATGGGTCCTGGTCTATTTCCCTTTTTCCCGGAGGTCAAACAGGGAGGTCCGCCTGCTTTTAATACACACCCACCTCAGGTTTGATGAGCTGGCCTGGCTGATTGGCGGTGATGCGCAGTGGCCACACGCGTGCAACTACATTGGAAGACATCGGTCAACACCAGTAGTAATGGCCTCCAACCGAATAGCGATGGCCTCCAGTAGAACGCAGTTGGAACGCTTTGAAACTTTTTTGGGGTCTCATGTTTAATCAACGACACGAAGAGGCTACAAAATGGTAAAACATACGCAGCAAAAGTCCATCAACAAGAAGGCAAAGGGCCTCAGGCTGGCCACACATTCAAAGGGTTCACCACTTGAAATTTATGTATTGTAACTGTAACAGCAAAAGATTGTCAAATGAAATGCTTGCGGCTTAGAACGGTTCAATCACTTTCAATGAATCCTGGAGTGCACTTTTCACGTTTATCCATTTTCCTTTCTATTCACTTGATTTCACCCGATTTCACTCATCACACTTTTGCGGCCTCCATTGTTCCAAGCAAAACTCCACCGGGAAATCCATTTGGGGGAACACAGAATGAACACACACCACCTGTCGCGTCGCACCAAGCTTTCACAGCCAGGTTTGCCAGCCATGCCCTGAGACGAGTTTTGGGAGTGTAGCAAGGACGCTGCTAGGAACAAGAAGCTACTAGGGGCTCCTGGGGCCCCTGACATCGCTACTAGGAACCCGGGCATCGCTACTAGGAGCAAGGACGTAGCAGGGTGAAGAAGTTGATTTTTCGCGTCGTTTCACACTATTTTTCCACAAACCTTCCGTGTTCTCCTGACGTCTCCGGTCCGAGGCGTGAGCTCAACGGAATTCATCCACTTGTTCAACTTGAAGAAAACGGCAGTGGCTGAGCCCCATTCGTTCGGCGAGGTCGGCACAAGACGTGAACATAAAATCAAGGCGAAGGTGAGTCAGACAAGAAGCACACCTTGCTTTGATCTAAGCACGAAAGAGAATTCTGAACCGCAAAACCCCGGATCACGGGAGATTTCATTTGTGCCCGTAAATCCCAGTCCTTTTTGCATGACTCGGGTTGCTCCTCGGGTTGCTGATGTCAACCACTTCGTCAACCACATCTAAGTGCCTCGGTGTCGGAACTGGGGCCGCCCCAGAGTGGACTAGGTACGGAGTCGTACTCTGAGTGTACATTGGGGTCGTCGCACAAAGCAAAGTTCCAGATTGACTCAGATGTTCTTTCTGGCTGGTTTTCCAAGAAGTGGATGAGGGAAAGGGCCTCATTGAGGTGGTGAAGGTAGTAATTAAATCATAGTAAGGCCTGGCAGGGCCAGTTCAGATACGAAGTCTGCAGACAACGTCAGATGCAGCAGAATGCGTGCATTTCATGCTATTTCATCTAACGTCCTCAGAACAGTCCACCAGCGAAACGGTCGACTCAACCGTCCAGCAGAATGGGTCTTGGGTTCCCTTCCTTGGTCTTTGCGGACTCTCATGCGAACCTTTGTCGCCAAGCTCCGTCTACGCATATCCATCAACGCGTAAATTTTGCTACTGCTACTCATCACTTGGACACCTTGTTTGTTGCTTAACTCCTACGCTGTCTTGCTGACTTGGCAAACGATCCTCCGCTCGGTTTCAGGCTGACGAGAGGCCAGGGGTTTCAGTTCGGGGCTTTGACCAGCACGAAAATTCGGCGTGTGGCCCATGTCTTGTCAGGCGATTGTCAGAGGCTAGCTTTGAAGATGAAGAGGCCATCATGAGTTCCCTGTTGTTTGGGAATCGCGCACTCAAAACTATCATCTATATATCCGCTCAATATTGTTATGGAATTCCAATTGCTTGTGATTGCCGTTGACTTGGAGTAGAAGATTTGGCTCGAGCACTGAGTGCAAGCGCAAGCTTGGACATCCGCATGGGGGTCCCCAACACTGACCGTGACTTGTTTTAGGTTATGGCAAGCAGATTCCGAAACTGGAGCGAACACAAACAATTACCAGGATTTACAAGGCTTTTCCGGACACACTTCAATACTATGTAACTATATATATGACTACATATATATATATATATATTATATGTGTGTTGTCCTAACTCCCAATTCACTCGACTTGGAAGAAAAGCGGACTTAAGCCTTCCGTCGTTCCGTTGTTTGCCTGTCAAGGTTTTAAGGCTGTCCAGACCTAAAGGCCTTGTAGCAAGGCATCCGGTAGGGCCTTACGGTAAGGCAGTGCAAGGCTTTTCCGGTTCGGAGCGCTTGGACGGTCGGTCGTCGGGCCGGGCGCATAAGGGGTGGTGAACGCAGGTGAACGCAGTCCCCGCCGGCAGACCGATGAGAAGATCATCGATGGCCGTCGTATTGCCGCTGCGTTGTGTTGCTTAGAGGAAGTTATGGGACATGAGTGTCGAGTGTGGATTCGAAACACGGCACGATTCATGCCGTGATGCTATGGGATCTGAGTGTGAGGTCATGATGTGAAGACTGCGGCCCGGGAGCTACAGAGCAAATATGGCGTGACTCCCGGGCTGGCCATCATTGAGGCAGCTGTGAGTCGAGTCGCGGATGTCGGAGAAACGATGAGACGAGACTCGACCGAGCATCTCGTTAGAGAGCCGACGTCGAGAGAGAGGCCGGTCCGGTGCCCGTTTGTTACTAATAGCTTCTTGTTACTACTAGTTCGGCACTTGTTGCTAGTAGCGTGGCACTTGTTTCTAATAGCTTCTTGTTACTACTGTGCCCGTTTGTGTGGAAGGTGGGAAATCACAACTATGGACAGCTCTTGGATTTCAGTGGCTTGGAGCCTGATGGTCCTGAGAAGTTGGATGAGCACAAGGTGAACCTGTCAAACTATGCAGAGCTTAAAGCCAGGATGGCGGAACGCTGTGGCATGCACGTGCAGATCCTGCGCTTTAGCGAGACAGTGACCCAAGCTCGGCTTATTCGCATCATCCAGGGTACCATGGTCAGCACTTAGGGCCTATGGGGTATCCAGCTCAAAGGAGTCAAAGCGCTACTAGGTTGGAGGTCATCGCTAGTAGTAACAAGTGCATCGCTACTAGTAACAAGAAGCTGCTAGGTTGGAGGCCATCGCTTCTAGTAACAAGAAGCTGCTAATAGCTCCTTGCATTACTACTAGTAACAAGGACGCTACTAGGTGGAGGCCATCGCTATTAGGTTGGAGGCTATCGCTATCAAGCTGACAGGAGTCAAAGCGCAACCTCCAAACTCTAAAAATGTTTCGCCAGATCTTCTCAGCTCCAAGACTGAAGTCACTGGTTCTCCTTCGCTATGTTGCTTTTTTGAGCATCCCAATTTCCTCACCCAAAGTGGCGAGGGGTGCTCGCAATCTAAGCCTGCAGAAGTGTCAATCTTGAAAACCTTTCTAAATTTTAGATGTGAGGCTTAGTTCGTGCTTTTTGGAGATCAAGGTCTCATGGAGGACGAGAGCATCCATGGCATTCTGGTAGAATTACCTTTGCCACAACATTTGAATGAGATGGAGATCCTGCAAGCCATCGGCCCCTCGAAGGATGTGGATGGCTTGGCCTTTGCAAACCTTGGACGTTTGATGATCGGCGGTGGCTACAAATCCGGCGCTGAGCCCAGCAGCCGGCCGACCGTCCCCATGGGTGTCATGGAGTTGCTTTTGCGATCCAAGGTGGGAATTAGAAACAAGTGCCACGCTAGTAGAAACAAGTGCATCGCTTCTAGTAACAAGTGCCTGACTAGTAGTAACAATGTTCGCTACTAGTAGCAAAGGGCATCGCTACGAACGGAGCAAGGACGCTACGAATGGGGCTCCTGGCCTTACTACTAGGAGCAAGGACCACCATCCTTGTGGACGATTCTGTCGAATGAAACATGTTTGTAGGGCCGATGTCCAACCTACTAGCGATGGCCTCCAACTCTTCATACTTTGTGCATATTAGTAAAGGGCATCGCTAGTAACTTTTGAAAGAAACCATATTAGAGAGAGATGTAGACTCTGTCTTAGACAGATGTAGACGTGCAACGTGTGATGTGTGATGATGCGACAACGGAGGCATGCTAATAGTCGTCTTGTCTAATGATGCTTCTAGTCAGTCTTTCGGCAGTGAAACATATGATGTGTCTTTGTTTCCGTCATGTTTTGCGCACAGGACTCCCACAGGACTCCCACACCAACATTGCCTCCCAGCCCTTAGGTGGTGAAACGTCACAACAGTCTCACTGTCTCACTACATGCAGCCTTACTACAGCATTACAACCAACATGTTTCATGTTTGATCTATATGTTATTGAATCAGAAAACACCACTGGCTGGTTTCCAACGCTTGATGCACCAACGACACGAGCGACCATGTGATTCGACTCCAAGCTGGTGCACTTAAAATGATCCCTAAAAGGCAGGCAGAGTCTAAAAACGATGGGCTCCAACCTAAAAGCGGTGGCCTCCAACCTGATAGCAATGTCAGAGTCGTTCAAGGCACTCTCCGTGCCCTCTCTTGGACTGAACGGCTCAGAGCCGTGTTGATCGCAGCACGCCGTTCGCGCCGTTCCAGGTGGACTTACCTGGCAAACACGCTGTGGTGCTGGGCCGTTCCAGTACGGTGGGTGCACCGATCGCTGCACTACTCACGGCACACGACTGTACAGTCACCACGTGCCACAGCCAAAGTGTGAAGGTCGAGGCTCGGGGCTTGGAGCCTGCGCTTCGCTTTGCACGTGCGCGGTCGTCCGAATCGACAAGAGAGCTTGCTACCCGCTGCTACCCATCCCACCAGCTGTTTTCAAGAACGCCTCGGATCTTCCTTTCATGCATGGAATTTCCCGCGAGTCTATTGCTGACTTAAAGCAAGTGCCCCATGTTTGGCATGCCCAACCCTGGGAGGAACACATTGCCCGCGCTGACATTCTCGTTTCTTGCGCCGGGCGGCCGGGATTTGTGAGGGGTGCCTGGCTCAAACCGGGGGCAGTAATCATTGATGTTGGAATGAACGCTGCTTGGTTGCAACATGTGTGTGCACAGCCATGCTGAGCAAAGATCGAGCCGAAACTGCGTCTAGGGACGAATGATGTAATTAGGCAGGCGTTTCCTACTAGTGATGGCCTCCAACCTACTAGCGGTGGCCTCCTAGGCAGCCGTTTCATTTCAGATTTTGGAGATGACTCCATTTGCAAGGTAGTGCCAGAGGGAGGCAAAGGACGCATCGTGGGGGATGTTTGCTTCGAGGAAGCCGTGCGCGTCGCCTCTAAGATCACGCCAGTGCCGGGTGGGATGGGTCACATTTCCTTCGCCATTCTTCTCCGGAACGTCTTGAACTTGGCACGTAGCGCGGCACAGCTCACGCGCATTGGCATTGGTCCCACGGGCCATGAAATGTTCCGCTGTGCGGACCACTTGCGCTTCCCGGATTTGGGCTTGAAGGTTCCGCGGGTTCTGCTCCCACGGCAAGGCTTGGACTTCACCAAGTGGTGTGTCATCGCTTGTGATCAATACACTTCCCAGCCTGAGTACTGGAAAGCAGTCAAGGACATCGTGAAGGATGCGCCGTCCACATTGAATCTGATCTTTCCGGAAGTGTATTTGGGGGATGCCAAAGGGAACCAGCAAATCATCAGAGGCATCAGGGACAAGATGTACGAGTATGACCGAGATCGGATTCTTGAACCACAGCACCCGGGCTTCGTACTGATTGATCGAAAAACGCCGCATGTGTCAAGCAGGAAGGGACTCTTGGTTGCATTATGTTCTGTTTTGGAGTGTGTGGTAGGAATAGGAGGCCGGCTTGGGGCATTCCGAAGCGTTCATGTTGTTCTTTCCTCCCTTCTTCTTAATTCTTCTTGCTTTTGCTCTTGTTCTACTTCTTAGTTCTTTCTCTTCTTGTTTTGTTTCTTCTCCTCCTGCTTCTTCTTCTTCGTCATTCTTGTCTGCTTGTCGTTCTCAGTCGAACGGAACAAGCAACACGCGCCCAACCCGAGCAGCCTGAGCACCACGAGGGCCAAATCCAAAAGCTTTTAGTCGGCTCGGGGTGGCCATACGAATCGTGCTTCAGATTGCCTTTGGGGTCACCAGTCCAGGAGAGATTCTGATGCCAAGGCTTGCTGAAAAAGGTTCAAGGCATTGGGAGATCCACAGAGCGGTTCTGAACTGCAATAGCAGTCGTAACCATTTTGTAACCTTTTCAATTTTGAACGTGTCTTTTTGCATATGACACGTGAGTTAAAGAGTGGGAACCTGCAGATCTGCAAAAACGCCTTTGTACCGTGCTTCAGTGTCAGGCAACCGCATAAAATCAAGACGTCAAGCTTTTAGGTTACAAAACCTGGCAACCTAAAGTTGAAGCAAACCAAGAACACAGGAAGCCACATGCCACACACAACCACCAAACTTAAACGCACCAAATCGCCAACCCAAACACCTGAAAATCAATCAACCACTCTAGACATACCGAAGCCGCACAGCTGCCAGCTGGCCAAGCGTCTCACCAAGCCGAACATCTCAAGCGAAGCAGGACGAACGGCGCCCGGCCAGTGGCGGGTTGGGTCAAAAGTCCGCGGATGCGGAGATATCTTTTCGGGACTCAGCGCCATTTCGCAGATGGCCAAGATAACAAAAGGACAGTGGCGTAGCGGTCTGTTTTCGGTCTTTTCCTCTGCCTGGGGCTGAAAAAAAACGTTCAAAGGCCTTTCATCACTCTGCTTTGCTTTGTTTCGCAAGGACTCCTGGTCGCCCTTGACCTTGACATGTACAGCTTTGAGAAGGGCTCTCAAAGTTTGATCCGTCCAACCGAGAAGACAATCCCTGAGCGCCTTCCGCCTCGCATCGCAATCAGGGAGCAGTCTCCGTTGGAGTTGCCACACATTTTAGCATCTTGGCTTGAATTCTTCAATTTGGAGTTTCAACACGCGCCTGTTTAACAGTTTTGAATCCAATTCTTTGGCACTGATGCACTGATGGTGCCACTATAGGAGTGGCTATAGGCTATATAGATTTGGCGATGATTTGCCTAATTAGGTGCTGATTGATGATCCTTCGAAAACAGTGATTGAGCCGTTGATGGCTCGGGCGGACACCTTTCCAAAGCTTTATGACTTCGATTTGATGAAGGGAAGTGGACATCTTCGAGGCTGGACACACGTGTCACAGAAGGAGCAATCTTTTTGTCACAGAGGAGGGTTTGAAAGCATGTGCAAACTGTCCGAATAAACCGGAGAAATTGTGACTTTGACAGTTCCGGCCGCCTTGTCAGGCTGGCATGTCGCAGAGACGCTACACTTGCATTTGGATGTGACATCAGATAGCTAGGTTCAGATGATTCGATGTGTACATGTTCTTCAACGTGCATTCCAGAAATCCTCTATTGCAATTGTCAATGACTATCAATGGTTAGGTTTTTGCCTCCCAAGTGCTGCGATTTACCGGAAGAGTGCCAAAGGGGTTAAGATGGGTTAAGGCTTAGTAAAACACATCCAACTGCTGAGAGGAGGATGTTCATGGTTTTGTTCCGGCAACAAGGCCATCGAAACGTTTTGTTTCGACAGACACTCAGGAGTGCCGCAGTGGAAGGCGTCGTAGCAGCACTCCGGTCATTGGCCTCACCGGAGAACTTCCGACGGAGGTATGAGGCTGCAGAGAACCAGGGGGTGATCCTTTTTCCCGTCCGCCGACCTAGCCATGAGCGGAAGAAACAAAAACCGTTTCAGTCGTTTCTCACAGCATTCTTGTCCAAGACTCACGAGAGAGGTCTTTTTCAACATCCAAGATTCATTGCAGAAGACAAGCTTCTTGCGCAAGGCTTCTGGGGCACCCTTTCAAGCTTCTTCAGGATAGAACCGGATCACCAAGAGAAACCCGAAAGGTCTCCAACAGCCGCTCGCCGCTCGCTTTTGAGGTCGGTGATGGGAACCACTCCTTAGCCACAGCGAAGCAATGCTGGGAAAACCTGAAGCGAAAAGGCACAGATCAAAAGACTATATTAACAAGTGCATCGCTAGTAGTAACAAGTGCCTTACTAGTAGTAACAAGAAGCTAGTAGGAACAAGTGCCACGCTACTAGGAACAAGTGCATCGCTAGTAGTAACATTTGTCTTTTCTTGTTTGCCTGGGGGGGTAGGCCGTAGAGGTGAGGTAGCTAGAGGTAGCTAGTAGAAGCTGGCGAGTCGCTAGTAGCTTAAGTAGCTATTAGGCTATTACCTAGGACGCAGGATAGCTCACGCTTCTTCAAGGAAGCGCTTGCACTATTCATTTGGCTCCGGAAACTTAACTAATAGTGTTGGCCTCCAACCTACTAGCGATGGCCTCCAACCGGGTTGGAGGCGCAGATCCAGAGACTCACCCGGCACGCCATGCCTTGGTCGAGTTGGTGAATATCCATGACCCGGGAATGACTTTTGAGCCCATCCATCGGCTTGTGTTCAACATCGACGTAGACAAAGCATTGAAGGATTTGCAAGCAGACGTCGAGAAACGTGGCTGGGGACCGTTGCAGATGTTGACTGGTACTTTGGCGACGCTGAGGAATAAAGAAAAGGGTGTTCACTACGTGGAGTTTCGTAGCCAAAAGCGCAGCGGCGTGTTGGCCATTGCCCACAGCCCCCTCGTTTTGGAGGTGGCCACCCTCACCGCCTGGCTGGACCCATACCTAGCAGGCCATCCAAGCATGTCGGTGGACTATGTGCATGGCGAGGAAGTCATAGCAGAGAAAACAGCTGAAGCGGCATCAAACCTAGCTTTCCTGTTTCCCATCATGGACAAGAATGACTTGGTGAAGACAGTTGTGAAGGAGGGCGTGCTTCCCCGCAAAACATTCTCCATGGGAGCAGCAGACGAAAAGCGTTTCTACTTTGAATGCCAACGCATCGTTCCAGAGTTCACCTTTTTCAAATCCGATTTCTTCCGGCGTGGAAGCGTCTCAGTTCCACTCAGTGAGCGATGAGGGGGGATGAGTTGGAGTGTGGAAGCCAGGATCAAGAAGTTCCTTAGCCTCTTCTTGAGGTGTTCGAACATGTCTTGTAGCTAACCAGATTGGGCTTTCCCAAGTGCCCCGTCGTGCGTTGGCCAATGACTTACCTCGGACGACCTCGCACGTTGCTGCCACCTTTTGAGCCGGGCAGCCACACGAGTCGACAGTCTCCAGGCATTTGGCCTGAGATTTGTTTGGCTCGATCTACTTCTGGCACAGGTGCTAGTACTTATAAATGATCATTATGTAATTATATTACTTAATTGTTTGTACTCTGGGAAGATAGGAAGACGATGCCCAAGAACAACCAGAAGAGCACAGATGATCAACTGTTTTGCATGCGGAAGCCGTTTTCAGTGCACTTTTGTGGAGCCTGAAGCCAAGAAGTGCGAGATTGTGTACAGGATCCGAGGTGCCATATCGGTTAATCAAATAAATCACTTGTCGGGGCTCAGATACCGAAGCCATTGACGGCCATTGGTGCTTGGTGTCTGGCCCTGCAGCCGCAGAAGCCGAGCCTCGTGGAATGGATAGAAATCAGTTGAGGAGTTGTCCGACGTGTTTCTTTAAGGACATTTTTGGTAGCAGATGCGGCAGGGGGATTGCGTAAGACTTACCAGGAAGGAAGGAAGGAAGGAAGGAATTACATAAATATAGAACGACAAGTCAGACACTTCGAGAAGCTCAGAAGACAGAAATTTTGCAGAGGTGCCAGAGCATCCAGCAGATCTTGGGCCTGTCACCTCAGATTTGATTTGGGGCGTTCTTAGATTGGAGGCCGTCGCTATTAGGTTGGAGGCCATCGCTACGCTATTAGGTTTCCACTGCCACATAGTGCTAGACGCTGCCAACAAATCGAATGACTGACAGGACATGCCATGCCAGAACTGGAGCACTCGCAAAAACAAGTGATTTTCAGACAGCTCCCTGCGTGTGGTCAGACAACTCCCAACAAATCAAAGTTGTTGAACAATCAGTAAGGCAACAGTGCTATTGGTTTTTTATACAGAGGCGTTGCCTGGAGTGAGGCGTGCCATCTCAGTGCTTGGTCCGGAAATGCTCGAAAGGCGGCAGAGACTACAGATTCCCTGTGGGTTGGAAAGTTCTGGAACAACACTTGCCTCATTTGTGGATATTTTTCTTCAATTTCATCACTTTTTGTTGGAAAGGCGGGCAGCCTGTGCGGCAGTCGGAGTGCCAAAACTTGAGCAGGACCAGAAAAACGCGGTCGGTATGTGCGTGTTTGTCAAGCAAAGATGTGTTGCTTCGTTTTGCCTGTTGAATTTCCTTGCAATGCATTTGTTTGCCAACAAAACCTTGCAGGACAGGGATGGCTGTGACAGGGTTTGGATCATTGGTGGCACCAACGAACAAGGTTCCGGGCTTTGCCTCACAGAAGTAGACAAGAAGAAACCAAAATAGGCTACAAGCGATGGCCCCAACCTAATAGCTTTGCTCGTGCTCTTCTTCTAAGAAGATCCTAAACTCAAAGGTTTCCTAATAGCATAAGCCTGGGCCAAACTGTTGAAGACTGACATCCAAGACCCAAGAACGGCAACTTTGCTATACTAGCATGGGGTAGATTAGAAATAGTCGTAAAGGGGGCACTACCTGCTGGCACACGTGAAACATGTACTATATTGTAACATTGTGACATTACTTCTAGTAGCATTCTTACTACTACTACTACTACTACTACTACTACTACTAACAAAATGTAACAAAGGGCATCGCTACGAACGGAGCAAGGAGGCTACTAGTAGCTCCTGGCATGACTACTAGGAGCAAGAAGCTACGTGGAGCATTCATACACAAAGCATCACCTCAGCACCGCGTAGCGCATGTACATGACCGTTCTGAGGCCAAAGGCTGCAGACCAGTGAGTGGATCGAGGTAGTTCTGCCAGCATCCCAGAGCCAAGGAACAGAAACAGCTGAGACCGAATAAAACTGCTAACCTCTCAGGTACTAGCTGCAACGGTTCACATTGTAACATACCCTGTAAGATCTGTAAGGCAGGTTCTAAACTTCGCTTCGGAGAAGACTGATAGCCAGGCCTTGGGCCTAAAATGGGCCTAAAAGAAGGTCTCAGATGTCATGAACATTTCTTTAAACGCCGATCCAGACGCTTTGTCCATTTGTTGGGAAAAAAGTCCTAAGACATTCCAGACCTAATAGGGCAGACTAAAGTGACGTCTGAAGGCCTACAGAGGAGATTAAATGCACAGATGAATGACTCAGACTGAACTCCGAACTCCTCAACCTCTCAGGAACGATTCGCCTCCGAGACCTGGAGCTCGAAAGCTGAGTTTGAGGCCCAAGGGCGAGCGCCACGAGGCGGAGCCAAGTGGCGAGGCCGAGCCCAGCCCAAAGCGCACCGAGGACGAGGAGCGAGGTGCCGATGACCGAGGTGATGAGGAGGGAGAACATGGTGAACATGAATCTGAAAGAGAACATGCTGAAAGACAGATGCAGATGAAGGAGGGAGAGGAACAGAGAGATGAGGATGAGGAAAGCCGAAGGTTAGATGAAAGAGAAGGAGCTACACCGGAAGTCAATGAAAGAGAGGCAGATCTGGCGGAGATGGGGCAACAAGGCACAGAAGACGGAGAAGACCGAAGCGAAGCCATCGAAGCAGAAGCGGAACCTGAAGCGACAGCGACGCCGGTGGAAGTCGCCACTGAGGAGGCCAAAGTCGCAGGCGAGAGCCGCTGAGTGAAGACTGAGCTTCTTGTTCCTACTAGTAAGGCACCTGTTACTACTAGCGTGGCACTTGTTACTAGTAGCTTCTTGTTCCTACTAGCTACTTCCTCCTAGTAGTACGGCCAGGAGCCCCTAGTAGCGTTCTTGTTCCTAGTAGCGATGCCAGGAGCCCCTAGTAGCTTCCTGTTCCTACTAAAGACAAAGAGTCTAAAGTCTAGAGATGTCTAAAGACACGAAAAGACAGCAGATTTACATTGCTAGTAGGTTGAAGGCCATCGCTTCTAGGTTGAAGGCCATCGCTTCTAGGTTG